GGTTCCGTTTGGGTTTAGGGCTTAGGGTTTGGGGGGTTCCTGAGATCAGGGGGTTTCCGTTTGGGTTTAGGGCTTAGGGTTTGGGGGTTCCTAAAATCTGGGGTTCCGTTTGTGTTTAGGGCTTAGGGTTTGGGGGGTTCCTGAGATCAGGGGGTTTCCGTTTGGGTTTAGGGCTTAGGGTTTGGGGGGTTCCTGAGGTTTCCGTTTGGGTTTAGGGCTTAGGGGCTCCTGAGATCAGGGGGTTTCCGTTAGGGTTTAGGGCTTAGGGTTTGGGGGTTCCTAAGATCAAGGGTTTCCGTTAGGGTCTAGGGTTTAGAGTTTGGGGGCTCCTAAGATCTGGGCTTCCGTTTGGGTTTCGGATTTAAGGTTTCGGGGTTCCTGAGATCGAAAATGTCCGTTTGGGTTTGGGGTTTGGGGTGTATAGGGCCAGGGTTTATAACGTGTGTAGGGTTTAGGGCTTGGGTGTACCGGGTCTATACGGGCTTGGGGCTCAGAAATGATAGTGTTTAGGGTTTAGATTTGAGTGTAGGGTTTGGGGTGTATGGGGTTTAAGTGTGTCGGGTTTGGGGCTTGGTGTTTGGGGTATAGGGATAAGGGTTTAGTTTAGGGTTTCGAGTTTGGGGTTTAGGGTTTAGACTTTAGGTTTTTGATACAGAGATCTGTTGACGCTTCGGTGTTAAGGGTTTAGAGGTTCAAGCGTTTTGGAATTGGGGCCCCTCTTTCTGGATGCCAAGCCATACCCACAGGCACAGGGTCCTAAGTACCTATATAGTAGAATGTAGAGTTTCTATATTAGGAATTACTATTTTGAGTTGGGGAATGTATCTCCCATAACAGTATCGAGGACCCTTTGGGATGGATATCCCTTATCGCGTGGTTGGGTGGTGGGCTTTCGGATTTAGGGGTTAGGGTTTCGGCCTTGTCGAAGTCTGCATGAAAGTCGGGCTGCTTGCTGTTCCTTTTCTTTGAAGCCAGCTTCGCCCTGTTTTGGGAAACAGGTGCAGCATGCGGACGTCGTTCTTGCCATCCTCAGCATGGAGGAGAACGCTGTTGGGCGCCACTTTCTTGTTCGCCTTTGCGTGTTCCTTCTTGGCTCGGCCTCATGAACCACATGTGCGGCGTCACGGGCATGTTCGTGCCGGGGATGTTCGGTGCCATCATGCCGGCAATCAGCTGCGGGGGGAGGACCATGTTCCGGGTTCAGGGATTTTGGGGTTTGGGATCTTGCGCTGTAGGGCTGATAGGTTTTATCCTAAACCCTACACGGTGCTCTAGGATAGGGTTGAACACAATTGAAGGTTTAGGCCTCAGGGGCTTGAGAAACCCCTAGTTTAGGGTTTAGGGCTTTACGGGTTTAGGGCTTAGGGTTTAGGGTTTAGGGGTTTAGGTTTTAGGATCCATAGACATTCCCAGAAACTCAGCCCTACCCCAACATGCTTACATAGATCACGAAGCAAAAAATGTCTTGTAGACCCGTAGTCTTCGGTCTACCCTACTTCCCGGCATGAAGCTAAACTTTCGAGCTTAGGCTATAGAGCCTTGGGCGTGAGGAGATGGGATTTTAGAGGTTAACCTAAACCCTAAACCGTATAGGTTACGGCTTATTAGAGCTCAGGATTGCGAGGTTTCAGGCTTAGGGGCTCTGGGTAAGGAATAAACCTTACTTTATTGTAGGTTCTGAGTATGAAGCCAAATATGCAGTCTATGGGGATCCTACAACAAAGTCGTTTGGTACTTCCAGGTTGGGGTCTGGAGTTGGGGAATTCGGGCGTGTAGTGCTTCAGGATAACCTAGAGCGTGACAAAAACTATGTGGGGTTTAGGTTTTAGGGTTTAGGGTAAAATAACACTAAAGAAAACCTTTATTCCTGGGTGCTAGGCCCTAAACCTCTGAGCCCTCTAACGAAACCTAGGCTCGCCCTTTCAACCCCCTGAGCAAATCTGTGAACAAGAACCTCTTTTACCCAATGGGGAAAAATATAAAGCGTCCCAAAGGCCAACCTAGAAACAAATTACCCCCGCAACCTTTTCAAAAGGATCCAAGATTACCACCAAGTCGCGGCATTTGGCATGGCCTCCTCGGACAACGTGATCAGGATCGGCTCCTTGCGAGATTTGTGAAAAAGGGCGTAAAAGGTTCGGAGCTTAGCGCCTCTAGGGGCGTTACTATCAAGGACTTTTGAGGTGTAAGGCGATCGATCAGCGTCTTCGGGTCTGACAGGGCGATCGGTTTAGCTAAAGTCATATATACATATATTTATCTGTACACTTGGATTCATACTTGCTTGTTGATTTATGAATGTGTGTATGTATGTATGTATGTATGTATGTATGTATGTATGTATGTATGTATGTATGTATGTATGTATGTATGTATGTATGTATGTATGTATGTAATGTAATGTATGTACGTATATATATATATATATCATAAGCATCTGAAAAATTGGACAAGGGCTTGGCCAGGGGGGGATGGGCGGCATGCACGCCAGAACCCGGGATTACCCAGATTTCGGTGTCTTTCAATCCGGGTCCGTGTACCCAAATAGTATATACTTTGGCCTTAATGTAGTCCCCATATACTTTAGGGCCAATGTTCTACTATTTGAGTACATGGACCCCCAGGGTTTGTTTAACAGTGCTGGGACTCCCTATGCCCTGCCTTAGGGGCATGAGGATTCACTCATGTTCCAACTTCCTGGCTTCTACTGTGGGGTTTAGGGAACAGTAGCAGCCACTCAAGACGAAAGCCACCCCGAAGAAAGCCCGACCCCAAACCCAACCCCCCTCGAACCCAAACCCTCTAAACCCGAGAGGGGGTCTAGGGTTTAAGCACTCAAGCCCTACAACTTGTAAACTCGAAGCCCCAATCCCCAAATTGTTGAAGCCTCATTTTTCTTAACCGAAACCCTGAACCCTGAGCCCGCAACGGCCGTCTAGATCTCATTCTCATCTAGACCGTAAGAACCCGTACACACCTTTAGACATTGAGTGACCAAAGCCCATGTGGACGGGGCTCTGCGAGATCTCGCACGGCCACGATGGCACCTGCCCACAGCTTCACCTGAGCATCGCTTAGGTTTTTAAAGAGAGAAAGCTAGAAGATCCGAACATGAGACATGAGGTTTGGGTTCTCGATGTAAGGCCTTCCTGGACCCCAGCAAACCTAGCAACTTTTTAGGGGTCCTTAATCGTGATTTCCTTACATATACACCCTAAACTGAAAACCCTAAAGCCATACATAAACATTATAATATATATATATATATATATATATATAATTATGTATATGTATACATGTATAAATATGTCCTTAGAAAGGCAGGCTATTTGCGGTTTAGGTACGCCCTTAAAACCGCGTTGCAGCTTCTGGGTTTCTGCGAGCGCCTAGCCGAAAGATAGCTAGGCTGGCACAGAATCACGATTTTAGGGTCTTAGGGTTTAGGGTTTAGGGTTTAGGGTTTAGGGTTTAGGGTCTTAGGGTTTAGGGAGGCCCTAGGGAGTTTAGGGTTTTAGGTTTAGGGCTATGGGCCGAAAGCCTCGAACATAATCACTAGCCAAGAGGTTTAGGGTTTAGGGTCCCGAGAATTTCGGGTTTTATTGTTTCGGGTCTAGAGAGTTTAGGGTTGTGGGGTAGGTTCAGCGCTTAGGCCCTCGAGCGTTTAGGATTTTAGGTTTAGGGCTATGGGCTTAGGGTTTGGGGCTTATACGGCTTAGAGACAAGCGAAGAGCCCACTCCAGGCAACCCGAAGCCTAAAAACACTACCACGGTCAAGGGTTTAGGGATGCAAAAAGCTACTGTTTTTGGGGCCCTACTCCCTAAATCCTCTTCTCATCTCACAATCTCGAAACCCAAAAATCTTGAGCCTTCTGGTGATTACACCTGCTCTCAAAAATTCACATCCGCCCCCAAGCCAAAAAAAACGACAGCCTTTCAAGACCATCCAAAAAGGACGTATATACCTCCAGTCTGAAAGCGGAAACTCCATATTCACAGCAGCCTGCATCCCAAATCGCCACCCCGAATCAACTGAATTCTCAACCTGGAACTCCCAACCGTATATGGTTTAGGGTTTAGGGTTTAGGGTTTAGGGTTTAGGGTTTAGGGTTTAGGGTTTAGGGTTTAGGGTTTAGGGTTTAGGGTTTAGGGCTATAGTACCAGCCCAAAAGTTGGAAACCCAACAGCCTCAATCCTTTTACTGAGTAGTGCATTGGAAATCCCAGCACTATTTGTCCTTAACCCCTAAACCCTAAACCCTAAACCCTAAATCCTAAACCCTAAACCCTAAACACTAAACCCTAAACCCTAAACGGGGTTTTGCTATCAACTCCTGAGAGCTCAAGCCCCTCGTGCTAGTCTTCACTCTCAGCCCTACATCATCTTGAGAAAGATAGCGCCTGACCAGTTCTATACATCATCGAACTTTACACATGGGTTTAGGGTTTAGGGTTTAGGGTTTAGGGTTTAACATATAGGCGCCTTAATAATTAGAATGGGGTTTTGGGCCCCACTGTACTAGATTTTTAAAAAGGAACCCCCCCAAAATAGTATTGATGATTATGTAGGCCCGTAAAAGAGACGGCAAGCTTAGGACATATATGCACCATGTAAGGTGTCGGGGTTCAGGGCCGAAGGTTTGATTAGGTGCTCGGAGTTGGGGTTTAGGGTTTAGGGTTTAGAGTTTAGGGTTTAGGGTTTAGGGTTTAGGGTTTAGGGAATACAGACCCCTAAACCCTAAACCCAATGAAACACAGTTTACTATCCCTGCGCCCCGCATCCTCAAAACGACGGCCACAAGCCCCAAAGCCTTAAGTCCTAAGTCCTAAGGTTGAGGGTTCAGGGGTTTAGGGGTTTAGGGTTTAGGGTTTGGGGTTTGGGTTTGGGGGTTCAGGGTTTAGGGGTTTTAGGTTTAGGGTTTAGGATTTAGGGGTTTAGGGTTTAGGGTTAGGAAACCATAAAAACAAAATCCGTCCCAGCCGCCGAGACGGCTGGCACAGCCAGCACCGTCGTGTCCGAGTTGTTCGTCAGATTCTGCACGAAGTCCTCGGATCTTCGTGCGATGTACTCTGAACCCCTGCTGAACCCTACCTGAACCATAGAGTTTAGGGCGTGGGGTTGAGATTTTGTAGTGCCGGGTCCCTAAACCTTAAGCCCTAAACCCTAAACCCTAAGTATTAAGAAACCTTTACAAAGAGCAGAACCCAAGCCCGAAAACCTACATACCGGGCAGAAACCCTACAAGCTAAGCTTCGGAAGAAATCCACCCTTAGCCTAAGGTGTCCCAACCCTCAGCCGTTTTAGCCCCGAGCCGAATCATGAATAGAAACAATAGCCATAAGATTTTACATGTAATTGCTATGGTTATAATGCTGATTATTATGATTCTTGTTGCTATTGTTGTCAGTACTTCTACCGTTTTATTACTGGGACGAGGAGAGCGCCAGTTCGTGCGTCTAGGATCTCTGATCATGAGCTTATGGCTTAGGGGTTTAGGGTCTAGGGCTTAGGGTTTAGGGTTTAGGGCTTAGGGTTTAGGGTTTAGGGATGTTTAGGCCTGGGAGATCCAAACACCTACCGTTTCTGGGCGTATGCCCTGTAATTCGGAGGGTCGAAACCTACTATTAGGGTCCGAGTACCTAATAATCATATACTCTTCTGAGCACCAACATACAAAACTACTATCCATAACCCAAGCACATGATTATTAGGTCGTTTGGACCCTTAGGGCTACTATTCTGTAGGGCTTGGGGTTGCAGGTAGGATTTTAGAGCTTGTGTCATCGGCGTACAGGGTTTAGGGTTGAGGGTTAAGAGCTTCTACTTAGGATCCGGATATCCCATATAAATCCCCTTATAATGAAGCCCAATAATGTAGGGATTTCCCTATAAAAGGCTTATGCTTATGTGCTTTTGGGGTCCCTAATTTATAGGGCTTAGGCCTTCCATGGCAGGGCATCAGGCTCACCTAAACCGTCACGGAGCCTAAACCACAACTTTAGGGTTTAGGGTTTAGGGTTTAGGGTTTAGGGTTAACCCAACCCTGGGACGCTAAGCCGAGAAACATGGGCGCTGAGGCCTAAGACCAAAGTCTAAAGCCAGTGTTAAGCATTGAGTCGGAAGCTTGGATGACCAGAAACCAAAAAGCGGAACCTCGATCTTGGATTTACGGGTCGTGAGAGTAGGTTTCGGGTTTATGGCAGGAGGGTGCCCTAACGGTCCAACTGCCTAATAATCGTATACTCTCCCAAATATTGACCTACAGAACCACTATCCTAAACCCAAGTACCTTGTTATTGGGTCCTTTGGACCCTTGAGGGTAAGGCTTAGGGACCTAGGGTATAGGGATTCAGCTACGACCCGGGTTTGTGGACACTGGGGCTCGGATGTCACAGTACCATAGGGGCCTTAACAAACAGAAGAGGGTTTTTTGGGGGTATATGTTACTATAACTATAATAAGGAATCACCCTGAACCCTAAACCCTAAACCCTGAATAATATTAGGCAATTCTTAAGGCCCCAGTAGTAAAGTACCTGTTTTTGTGTCGTGGCATCCTTTAGAGGTCTTCCTTCCGGGTAGTTTAGGGTTTAGGGTTTAGGGTTTAGTTTAGGGTTTAGGGTTTAGGGGTGTTTCCCTTCGGCAGTTCGCTGAAAGCTGTGAAGTTAAGCGTTTTGGACTTCAGGCTTTGGGCAATGTCAGAACACAAAACTAAGCCCAAAGCCCTAAACTCTAAACCCTCTTTAAACCCTGATTCATCCCTAAACCCTCCAAAACCCTAAGCAAAGCCCTGAACTTCACCAAGCAGGGCTCGTTGTCCACACTGGAGGATGCTTCCATCAGAACGACGATGTTGCCACCAGCTTCCTCCCGTGTTTAGGATTCAGGGTCTAGGGTTTAGGGTTTACCTGGGCACCAAAAAACTAAGGAGTCGTGTAAAGAAATCATAATAAGGAGGGTCCTAGAAAAACGGAGGACTTTTGATTTAGGGTTCCTTGAGGGGGAACTACGGAGGGCTCCAGAACATGTACCTACAAGGGTTTGGAGTTTGAGGGTTTTTGACTTAGGGTGAAATGTTAATTAAGGCTATTTTGTGGTTCAGAACCGATCATTTTGCGTTGTCGGCTGCTGGGCTGTTGCCCTGGGGCTGCGGGGTCCAAGACATATCCTGTGCAAAAGCTGTGGTCCCTGGCACCCACACCATCTACTCTGTGCCCCCTGTGTTATACTTCTACTACAGACCCAAACTCCAAACGGCAAGGCCGAAATATAGACCCCAAACCATTTCGACCCAGAACAACAAGATCTTACTGAGAGAAACAACTGAACCTATTCCTTGCCATGTATACATTAAATGGGTAACCGTCAAAATCATTGTCCTGTTGGGGTATGCTATATACGCCCCCCCTGTAGTTTGGGAACCTAAAAGAGACCCGAATTTGGACAACCACCCCATAAAATAGCTTGAATAAGTAAATTGCCCATACCTCTCCTGAGCAACCCTAAACCCTAAACCCACGACCTACGGTTGATGATGTAAACCCTGCATTACCCATAATGAGGAACATACCATAATTCCCATACTCTCTTCTTCAACAACCAGGCCTAAAAAGGTTCAAACCTTTTTGGATAGACCTAATAGATAGGCCCGAAAGTTCGCAGTTCTCCTATTGGTTATCTAAGCATAGTTTAGGGTCCTTCAGGCAATGCAGGATTTATATCATCAACCGGATCACTCCTGAGCGCTCCGTCCAGGTAATTCTACACACGACCTACTGTCTCCATTCTCAGATATTTATAAGTTAGCCAAATTTAGGGCTTAGGGGTTTACGGTTTAGCGGTTTAGGGTTTAGGGTTTTATATTGTGGGATCCTAACCCATAGAAACTGGTAAAACACAAAAAAGAGAACTACAATGGAGACTGGAGATATCCTAACTTAGTGGTATTTTGTGTTTTTTCTCGGTCTGCCCTTGATAATTGAGCCCTAAACCCTACACCCTAAAGCCTAAACCCTAAACCCTACAGCTTAAACCCTAAACCCTAAACCCTTATCTTAGACTGACCTTTGAGCCGCAGACTATGCCTCGTGAGCCTCCAAATGAACCTGAGTTGGGTTTAGGGCTTCGGGTTTAGAGGTTTAGGGTTTAGGGTTTAGGGTTTAGGGTTTAGGGCTTCGGGTTTAGGCGTTTAGGGTGTCGGTGTTGAATATAAAAGCTCTGGGGATAAGGCTGTAGGGTTTAGGGCCGAGGGATTTATCGTTTGGTGGCTCAAGGTTGAGGGTTTAGGGTTCAGGGGTTAGGGTTTAGGGTTTGGGGGGTTCAGGGTTCGCAAACCTAAACCTGGAACCCTGAAACACATGCCGGTTTCGGACAGGAACCCTCAACCGGCTTTGGTTCAGGATAGGATGCTTAAACTGTATAGGCCTCAATGCTTGGAATGCTGCTGGTGGCTCTTTAGGGTTTAAGATGGTGTGAGGTTTAGGGTTTAGGGTTTCTCCCCAGCACACTAGTCTCAGTATTAAGTCCCCTCTAGTAGGAACCCGCCCACCTTGACCAACTGTTTTGGAATCGCGGCCGAGACTGATGTTCCCTCGACCTGGGTTCAGGGGTTCGTGCCGTGGGTTTCGGTCTTAGGGCTGAGGGTTTAAAGTTTAGGCCCCTAAACCCTAAACCCTGAACCCTAAACCCTAAACCGATAGGTTTAGGGCTTAGGGTTTAGAGTTTAGAGTTTAGAGTTTCATGGCTACAATGCTCAGATGCACTGAGTGACATATTTATCATAAGAAGTTGGAGCTCAAGGTGTTACACGGTAAGGTTTAGTTTTTAGAGTTAAGGGTTTAAGGGTTTAGGCTCCATTCTCAGGGGTAAACCCTAAACCCTAAACCCTATACTATTCGGGTACATGGACCCTTTGAGGGTCTTGATGAAAGTTGCCGAAGGAAAACCCGGGTCTTGGCTTACCGTTGATCATATAGACTTGGGGATCGAAAACCCTACTGTTTTAAGGGGTATGCCTTTTTTAATTGAGGGGTCATAACCTACTATTTTGTAGAGCTTGGGGATACAAGGGGGTTTGAGGTTTTGTAATACCATCCTTTGTTGCTGCGGGCTGTTACTGAAAACAACTACCTACGAGTACTTAAGGATCGTTACTAGGTGCCAAAATGTGCCAAACAACTTACCAACACTTAACTGGCCGGAAACCGGGGTTTCTCCAGTCTAGTGTCTCGGGGTTGTATTTCCAGAACCCGCCGGAACTAAAGCTTTGACTTCCCAGTTCATGACGCCCAGCCACCCTCACTTGCACACGGGTCTCGGCAACATCCTCGTCCTGCGGCTTACTGACTTGGGCGGGGCAGTGGCTAATATAGGGGCCTTAGACATTACAAATTAGGTTTTGGGGTATATTAATACAGGGGCCTTAACACTTTAGTCATAACAAGGCCTTGGTAATTGTAACAGGGTTTTGGGGGTATATTATACTATAAGTCATAATAAGGACTGCTCTCCTCGCCCATAATAGCAAGGGTAATTATTGAGCCTAAATCCTAAACCCTAAGCTCCCCTATGTTAGGCTCGGATCCTTTCCAGCTTCTGAGGTGACAATGCCGCAAGCTACTTTCCTTTTGTGAAATTCGAAAGGCGGTTGAAGTTTGGGCTTAGTTTGGCATCAAGGTTCTGGGTCATCATGGTCCACTTGGAGGCCCAGGGGACTTAGTAATTAGGTTATAAGTAGAGTTATAATTACCCTAAATGGAGTTACCCCAATTATAACCCTACTTATAACCGACTTACTAAGTCCCCTGGGCCTCCAAGCAAGGTATCAAAATTTACCAAGAGGGTCCCAAGATCTTAGTCACCATTGTGGAAGTAGGCCCCCAAAGACTATCTTAGTCATGGCTTTGGGGGGACCGTTTTCCATAATAGTAGTACATACCCTCCGTCCCCAAACCCTACAACATGGTGGGTTATGATCCCTTAATTATAGGTTCTATTGCCCAAAGCAATAGGTTTTTGGATCCCCAGGTATGGACCCTCTGGGTTAGGGCTCAGAGTTCAAGGTCTAGGCGGTTTAAGGTCGAGGGGAGCATCATGAAGGGACGTCAAAAGCAGCTCATAACGAGTGCTAACGCGTAAGACGCAAACTGCATTCCCTTGCGATCTCTCGTGTCAGCGTATACCAACTGCCCAGTATGCTGAGAGTTCAATCAGGTGATGTAGAGATGCGGGAAATTCATACGACGCACCATTCCAGTCAACTCTGCACCAGTAAAGCCCCTAAACCCTGACCAATAAACACCACCAGAAGAGAACCTGAAACCCCAAACGTGTCTAAGGCTAGACTACAGCCTAAGCCCTAAAACCCTAAACCCTAAACGGTCTGTCCGAAGAGACGCTGATCTGCTGCGCCATCATGGTGGACGCTTCCGTGCGAGTGACAACCTGCTCCGGCACGTGTTGCTTCGGCTTCCGGGTCGTAAACCTGGACCCGAGAAATCCTACCTCTGGAATGGTCCTGAATCATAATATATTATGCCAGAGAAAAGTAGGTTCTTGCGGTGTTCCGGTAGAGCGTACGGTTTCGGTCCAGGTTTTCAGAGTTTCTAGGGTCTTTCAGTGTCTAGGGTTCAGGGACTTTGGACCGATGTGCGCAATCGTACGCTTATCATGGGCGAAGTCGGAGTACCATGAGGTTCAACGATGTCACCTTTAAAACAATATAGGGGCCTCAATAGTTAGGAATAAGGTTTTGGGGTATATTTAAAAAATAAACATAGCAATGACCCCCCGAATAGTATTCATATTGGTAATTGTTTAGGCCACTACAGTAAGGGAACCCTTTTTCTCGTTGTTCTGTTCTGCAAAAACCCTAAATGACGGGTGCAGAGGGGCACTACTGGTAACAGTAGACAGTATAGGAACCCCAGCCCTAGGTCTCAAAAGAGCCCAAAGGCCTCGATTTAGGGCTTAGGGTTACAGAAAGCCTGCTCCTGCTAGCTTGGGGTGTTGGGCCCCAAACCCTGGAAAAGAAAAAGAGCTCTGAGCTCTTGAAGCCATAAAACAAACGGCTATACCTCCTAGATGTAGGAAAGCCCAGTGCTCAAAAGAGCCCAAAGGCCTTCTCTTAGGGAAAAGGATATACTATAGGGGCCTTATGCCTAGAATAGGGTTTGGGGGGTATACTGTACTATAATTACACTGACGAAGCCCTAAGATAATAGAGGTAATCATTAAAGCCCCTGTATTACCTACTGGATTGCTGTGTTCTGTTAAATGTCCTTCAGGATCGTGATGGGTCCAGAAACACAGCCGGACTTTCAGGGTTTAGGACCCAGGCGCAGGAGGATGTTGGCGTTGTTCCGGGTGTTGCGGGGTTGTAGTCTCGGGGCCCTGAAAAACTATTTATGAATAGGTACATTAAACGCTAAATTAAACCCTAAACCCAGACCCCCTAAGGGGATTTTTCAAAGTTGCCCAAACTGCCACCCAGGTTAAGACTGCTTTGGGGGGGAGGGTTCAGAAATCAAGGCTTCGGAGGTTCCCTGTGTGTACTCTATAGGATGTAGTCCGAAGGCGCTGATGAACGGCATGCTTTGTGGGCATTGGGAGTCCAAACAATTGATCATGATGCTGACGGGACTATACGGATATGATTCTGCAAAATGCTTCAGCAAACCCTAAACCCTAAAACCCTAGACCCATGAGACTCTGCGTGTACCTGGGGCGACCCTGCCGAGCCTCAACACCTGAACCCCAAATAGACTCGAAAACCGAGAGAGCTTCTGAAACCCACAACCCCAAAACTTCAACTCGAAACTGTTTAGGGTTTAGCGTTTAGGGTTTAGAGTTTAGGGTTTAGGGTTTAGGGTTTGAAACCCACAACCCCAAAACTTCAACTCTAAATCCTAAATCCCCCAAACCCTAAAACCTAAACGCCCCAAAACCCTAAACCCTAAACCCTAAACTCTAAATCCTAAACCCCCCGAAACCCTAAATCCTCAAGCCCCCAAGCCACAGCCCCCAAACCCCCGGAACCCGGATCCTTCGAGCCAGATCCCCTCCATCTTAGGGAATAGGGGCTTCAGGTGCTTCGGGTTTAGGCTTCAGGGGTTCAGGGGCTTAGGGTTTAGGGGTTTCGGGTTTAGGCTCAAGGGGTTTAGGGTCTTAGGGTTGAGGCTTAAGGGTTTAGGGTTTAGGGCTTAGGCTTGAGGGTTTAGGCCTTTAGGCTTGAGGGTTTAGGGTTTAGGTTTTAGGGGTTTAGGGGTTTAGGGTTTAGGGTTTAGGGGTTTATGATTCGGGGGTTTAGGGCTTAGGTCCCAAGCCTGTGGAAATCCAAGAAATCGCCACAAAACGTACTCATGCCTGAGTGGTGTTCTCTGCAAACAGCTCCTGCAGCAGCTCCTTCGCCAGGGCTTTAGATCTAGGTCTTTGGAGGCACTTGCGGACGTTTAAGATTTGTTTCTTTCAGGCTGTGGGATAGGGCTTTATAGCTTCCCTAAACCCTAAACCCTTTGCCACGGAAGTCATGGGTTGTGGGCAGCTTGGGTATAAGATGCTGTACGTGTTGTAGACCCTCAAGTGTCACCGGGAACGAAATGCATATGTAACATATACCCCGTGCACCCAATCGTGTGCGAATCCCTCTTCTTTAGGGCAGGTTTTGGGTGGCTACAGATAGGCTTGAGGTTTCGGAATCAGCTCCTGCTGTTTCTACCTATCTTGGTCCCCTGAAGAGTAGAATCCTTATTGTAAGCATCTCTGTCCTCTTCTGCCTGCGACATCGGCTCCGAAATCCAGACAGTCGAAGTTGTTGTAGTCGTCAACCGTGTCGTCGTGGTCCTGATCGGACGTTAGGGTGACCCTGAACCCCAAACCCCTAAACCCTACACCTTAAACCCTAACCCGAAACCCTAAACCCCAAACCCCTAAAGCCTGAGCCCTAGCTTGGGGTTTCGGGCTTTTAAAGTTTTAAGCCAGGGAGCCATCCCCAAAGCACCCCGACGACCCCCAAACCACTCCCAGAAGGTCCGAGGTACTGTCATAATGGTTCCTTTAAGGGGTCTAGGGCTTAGGGTACTGTCATAAAGGTTCCTTTAAGGGGTCTAGGGTTCAGGGTATATAGGGCTTTAGGGTTTTAGGGTTCAGGGGTTTAGGATTTAGGGTTTAGGGTCAGAAACCCTCCTTGGAGGCCCAGGGGACCTAGTAAGTCGGTTCTAACCGGGGCTACAATTGAGGCAACTTAGGGTACTTATAACTCTACTCATGACCTACTTACTAAGTTTTCTGGGCCTCTAATAAGAAGGTACCGTCATAACGGTTCCTCTCATGGGATCTAGGGTCTGGGGTTTAGGGATAGGTATTCCTCTAAGGGGTCCAGGGTTTAAGGTTTAGGGATACAGGTATTCCTGTAAGGGGTCTAGAGTTAAGCGTCTAGGGTTTCCGGATAGATATTCCTTTGAGGGGTCTAGGGTTTCAGGTTTAGGGATAGGTATTCCTTTAAAGGTTGCTTCAAGAGATCTATAGGGGTTTCTGTAAAGGGGTCCTTTACGGGATCGAAAACGGTTCCTTCATGCGGGATACTGTCACAAACCATAAACAAGTAATTCCAAATATAGATAGAGACCCTACATTCTACCATATCCCTTAGCATCAAAATAGCCCAAAGGCCTCTTTTTATAGGGTCTCTGGGCCCAGAAGCCGTAAAATATGAGTCCGTTGAGCGTAGGGGTATAGGTACTTGGGACCCTTTGGGACTGTCGCCAACACACGATTGCCATCCCAGAACACGCAGGCAACTCTTGGTAGAGCAACGCTTGGGAGACTTGCCCGTATAGTAACCCATGTCTATGCAACCCCAATGCAGCCCGTACGAAACTCGCAGGACACTCGATAATTAAGAGCCCCTGAAAACCCCTACACAATACATAAATGAGGCCAGAGGGTCTGTGTCAGTGTCGAACGGGTGGATGTCGTCTCTGTCAGTGTCGTTGCTGTCATGCTGGTCTCCGTTCTGCCTGGGTTGTGTTTCTTGGGGGACTTTGGGATTCGGCTTTAGGGGGTTTAGGGTTTAGGGTTTAGGGTTTAGGGTTTAGGGTTTAGGCTTTAGGATCTAACGTCTCGGGTTGAGGTCGGAGGGGTTTTCAATTTAGGGTGTTTTTTTTGAGCTCCTTCTTCCACCTGCAGAGATCCCACAGTCAATTTAGGGGTTTAGGGTTTAAGGTTTAGGGTTTAGGATGTAGGGACTAGGGTTTAGGGTTTAGGATTTGGGGTCTAGGGTCTTTGCAACGATCTCTGCAGAGACTCGCTGTTTCGTTGTCAGTCAAGGTTTGCGTAGAGGGTAGAGTGCACACCACACGGCTTCACACGTGTCGGCTTCGCCCTAAGACTCTACGATGACCTACGTTCTGAGAAGACTCCGAAGAGGATCAAGCAGGATGCATAGTTTTAAAAAATTGGCAATGCGGAGTAGTGACAGCCACGATAGCCATTCAAATGATTCTGATGACCAAGTCATCACACTCATCGACAGGTCAACATCTATCATCCGTCGTTCATAAGACATCAACGGAATCCTAGTGATGCCTCAGCCTCCATCAGCAACATGGTCGTGACCGACATCATTGCACCCGAGGCCACAACGAGCAAACATAAGTCTATTCTCAGCCCCAGCGTCTAGTCATTGTCGTGGTGGTCATCGTCGTCGTGGATGTGCTTGCGTTCCTCAGCACGGCCCCCTCCTGAAGCCTAAAATAGGATGTAGTGTTTGGGGTGCAGGTGCTAGGGAGGCCCAGGAAGAAAAGCTGCGGCTAGGCATCTCTGTGGAATTAGCTTCGCTGCCATTGCCATCTGTAGCATTGTCCGAGTCGTTGTCCGTCCTGACAGTCGTAGGTGGGTCACTGGATGGAAACCACGTATAAGTCCGTTAGACACAACAACATTTGATTAATCACTCAGCATGAAACAGGAATTCCTATGGAACACCCAGAGAAGCCCCGATGAAAGAGCGACGAAACCCTGACTGTCACACCTCTGACAACCGACCCAAGCCCGAAAACCGAACAACGTCCTCGCGCGAAAACTGAATATAGTGGCCTCTGCCCATGGAAAGGGTTGGCCTATGCTTGAACCTTACACTCCAACAAGCGAAGAGCCTAAAATCTACTAACTTAAATTGCGACGGCTTACTTTCTGAGGAGGCACGTCAATTGAGGCCCGAGTACAGAAATTGACTGGGACCCTAATCGATGCTAAACCTCACAAGAGAAGCTATAACATATTCCAAGACAAGTCAAGCCCATTAAATCCTGCTTCCCAAAACCCTACCTACGCAGCCCACATTACAAAACCCTTTCACAATCGTACCATAGTGAAACGAAAACCGATACAATGCTTATTCAGCCCTCTTGAAAACCCTATCACCCTGATACATAATACAGCCTAAACCCAAAACTCCTAATACATAACGAACCCTGAGCCCGTGCAAGCCCCAAACCCTTACATCTAACACCGAAACCCTAAACCCCTATAAGCCCTAAACCCTTAATGCCGAAACCTATCTCACGATCTGAAATTGCCCAATGGGCCTGCAGCGGCCACAAGCCACCTGAGAAAGGTCAAGGCTTCGAATTTACTAAGTCATAAAACACGATAGCTGGGTTGTGGCTTCGGGGCCCTGCACATTATTTATGAATAGGTACCTACAGAAGAACCATAAGGGAAATTAAAGCTCCCAGAAGTGCCACCCACATAAACATGTATGCCGATAAACATACATAAGTTTAACCTAAACATACATAATAGATCATATAAGGATACAAGAATCCACACTATATGCTGCGAATTAAAACCTCTATGAAACTTAGTTGCTGAGTTCACTCACAAGCCCCGAAGAGTGTACACTTTTGGTTCTATAAGGGGTCGTATTATCCCAAAAAGTGTAAAGTGTACTCACTCAGCTACTAAGAAAACCCTATACTCAGCGACGGCAAGTCGCAGGACACAGCTCCCTGTTCGGCATGGTGAAGCTACGCGACTCATAGGTCTCGTTGCACTGCTCCTCTCGCTACGCTTGGGTGCTAGGGCTTACTCGTGGGGCCTTAGGGTTCAGCGTTCAGCGTGGAGGGTGCGGTTTAGGGTTGAGGGATCAGGGCTATAGGGTGTACAGGGGTCCGAAACTAACTAGGGATTTGGCAAGTTTAGGCTGTCGGAATGCCTAAGTACCCAGATGCTCTGTCCTTTAGTTAAGGACGGAATCCCGGAATTCTAAGGTCCTTTAAAGCATACTGCTGTCTACCGGGTGTTGAAGCTGTTGAACGCGGCGCTGGCAAACGCTGAATTGTAGCGATAGTGGAATAATGCAAACAGGAGAGTATAGGTACTATAAGCCCTGGTAATCACAGACCCTAAACCCTAAACCCTACACATAACCCGTAAACCCTAAACCCTACACAAAACCCCTAAACCCTAAACCCTACACAAAACCCCTAAACCCTAAACCCTACACATAAGCCCTAACCCCGAAATCTAAAACCTACACATAACCCCTAACCCCGAACTTGAAACCCTAAACCCACCCGAAGTACCGGGGCCTTAGAATCCTTTGTAACTCTGGGAGAATTTGTTTTCGAAACCCAGGTCTCCCGAAACAAAGTAATTATAAGCCCTAAACGGTTAAGGTTTAGGGTTTAGGGTTTAGGGTTTAGGGTTTAGGGTTTAGGGTTTAGGGGTGAGGGGGTAGGGTTTAGGGTTTAGGGTTGTAAACCGTGGAAGCTCGCAAGGTGCTGGTCGAGACGGAGAGGAAGCAACTCAAAAACAGGTGCCAAGAAACCCTGGCCCATAAAACGCTAAAATACCAAGACCCTAGAATGTAGTACCCTCCTGTATCCCCAAACCCTACAGAATAGTAGCTTACGACCCCTTAATTACCGGGCGTACCCCCTAAAACATAGGTTTTTGCATCCCCACGCTGTTTGGATAACCCATGTTTTGGTTTCGATCCGATAATAACCTATTATGTCGTTTGGATCCTCTGATACGAGACTTAGGCAACCAACAAAGCGCGTGTTGGGTACTTTGACAAGGGAACCTAAAACCACAAAAAGAGCACAAATGGCGTAAACCGCAAACCCCAGACCCAGAACCCTGGACCCTAGACCCTAAACCGCGGAAGAAAAGCCATCAAGAACCTTACTTCCCCAAGAAGCCAGGCAAATAAAAGGTTAAACTTTCAGATTGCTCCTAACTTATACACCCTACACCCTAAACGCTAAACCCTAAACCCTAAACACTAAACCCTAAACCCTCTAAAGGTTGGGCATTTGTAGAACTAAGGAACCCATGGAGTCCCTCTCCAAACCCTTTCTGCCACCCACCGCAAAGGACTGTCTGGTGCTTAGTGGGGAATGGGTTTAGGGTTTAGGGTTTAGGGGTTAGGGTGTAGGGTTTAGGGGGGAATGAATCCCTATGATAGTCCTTTTGAGGTCCCTAGTCCCTATAACCCATTCCCCATTCCCTCCCTAAGCACCAGACAGAGGAAGGTGGAGGGAGCTTTGGGGGGCTTAGAGTTTTTCGGTTTTAGGGTCTTGGGTTTTCGGGTTTAGGGCTTAGGGTCTTGGGGCTTCGAGGTTTAGGGT